AACTAAATGTACAAAAGAAGACTGGGGAGGGGGCGGGGCACTTAGCTAAACTAAAGGCAGACAGAGAAAGGGAAAAAACTGAAGACAAAAAGTAAAGAGTTAGCTAAAGGCATACAGATATAGATCAACCAAATCCTGGAACATAACTTTGGGTGAAGTAATGGTGAGGAATAGTTCTTAAGGATGTTGGGTATCTTTTTTTTTTAAATGAGATGATTTTATGACAGTCTACATATGCTAAGATGTTAAGCTATTTGGATTAGTGTACTATAAGTTTCTCCTCGCTATCTGCCAGTGAGAAATTTTATAAATGCTTTCTCTGAAATATGTCTACCACTGATTTTTTTTCTTACCCCCTAAAATACACTTTAAGAAAGTTTGTTATTTTCTTAAATTGAGAAAAAGTTGCAAAATGATGGCTGTAGTTGGGTATATGTACCAAAATAATACAAAACTAAAAAAATACAAAAAACTCTCATAGAAAATGCCGTTATAAAAGTTAAGAAAGAAATGAATACCACAGAAACTTTACACTATTTCTAGTAGCATGCCTTATTTGAGGAACTCAAAGTTAATTTCCTTAACTTCCTTAAAAAAAAGTATAACATTCTCATGACATAAATCTTTTAGGCTTATGTTAGAAAGATCTTTAAAAAGAAACACTAAAAACTTAAATAAATTTTAAATCAACATTATCTTCCACAAAGTATATTTTAAGCCTTCTAAGACAGAAATCAAGAGAAATTAAGGAACATTAATAAACTAAAAATGCTGAGAGCTTTTAAACCCCTGGGGATTCATTTGTTTCACAGCAATGTGCTTCACAACACTTAAATTATTTGCTTTTGCAAATAAAAATAGTATGCCATAGAGAAAGGAATGAAGACATATTTATCAATATAATGGGAAGGTATGTTCTAGAGATCCCTGGTAGATTGTAGGAAGAGGGAAGTATACAACTGAATGGGAAATTGAATTAAATTGGTAGAATATAGGTCCAAGAACACCTATTTCAAATATCAAGGTATTTAAAAGGTTGAACCTAGGCCTGCATAGATAATTTATGGAAAAAAAATGCATTTTAAACAAAATTTTAGATAAAATTATATAAATTGAAGTAACGTAGAATTTCAATTGTTCATAGAAAGCCAGTTGGACAGGTAAAGAAATACAAGAAAGAATAAACAAAATTCATAATTACAAAGTGAAAAAGTATTAGGATCCAAAGCTGAAAACATTAAAATAAAATGTAGCTTTGAAAATGAAATGGGGATGGTAACAGTATACCTCATGTCTGAGCCCTGATACTCTTAATTTGGCTGCTTGGCAAAAAACTGTAGAGATAAACACAAATTCCCAGTCACTCCAATTACAAAATTGAGATTACACTCCTAAGAATTAGAACAATACTTAAAATACCACATTTGAGAAAACAGCAAACGACTGAGGCATCTATACAGAGAAAAGCAGTTTTAATACATACTGAAAATAAGTCACCAATACATATAGGTTTATTTTTCATTTTAATATTAATAGTGTTGGAACATAATGCATCTAAATCTTCTTGAAGGACCTCTCTCCAGCATTTCAGTGTTCTAACATTAACCTTTTAATTAGTCACAATAATTCTTCACATTTCACCAAAGTTACTCTCTTTTTTGCTTGTTTTGTCTGGAAAATTGGGGGTGGGGTCGGATAAATACACTGAGCAGAGCAAATAAGTGTATACAAAAATACATCAGAGGCAATGACAAGGCAAAAGTCAGCAAATGGAAGTAAGTGCCCATTTATTTTAATAGGTAAGAATACCCACAGAGAAGAATATTCCACAGGAAAGAGTATTCCACTATCGAGAATTTACAAAATTCAATGGCAATGAATTTTCACATAAGCAATGCTGACCTTAAGAAAAAAAAGTAATGGTATTTTTAGACAACTCCCCCAAACTATGCTTAGTTAGTCTGCTGAAAGAAATATTAATGGGGTCCACTTGCAAGTTCTGAAAAACAAATGAAGAAACCAAAGTTCTAGAACAACTCCATAAAAAGGCAATGAAAAGGATTTAAGCCTCATGAAGAAAAAAAAAAAAAAAAAAAACCCACCTCTAGGAACCTAAAGTATTTTCCTTGATAAAGACTATGGAAGTGACATGACTGGAGGTCAATTATATTAAGAGATATACAGTTGGATCTAAGAAAATATTTATGTCATCTAAAGAAGGACTAGAACTAAAGTAAACTATGGCATATAACATTTGATTTAGGCATTAGATTCTCTGTGGATCATAAGCCCTGGAATATGTTTAAGGAAAGTTGCAAACACCTGGATTACTTTTTCAGGCCCTTAAGAAAATACGCAACAGTCATTCTGGGTTGGGTCTGATCAAGTTTGTTAGAACTCTATGAATTAGGGAGTACATAAATAAGGTTACTTTGAAAATCTATGTAAATCTTAAGCTCTCACTGGGCCTGATTTAAGAAACAGGCTTTCTTTATTCAAAGGGCAGTATGAATCTGGGCACTGGTTAGAATATTTGAAATTCATTCAATTATCACTAAGAGTACTACCATCTATGAAAAGTTAAAGAAAAAAGAAAAAATAGTTTGAGTGTGTCAAGAATTAGTATTCGGTAATTGTAATGAAATGGTTATTTCTGAATTCAATGGTGATTTGCAATTTTGTCTAGCAACAATCAGGTCAAGAGAACTTTTCAGGGACATTGTCTACTTACAAGTCAGTGGCTTCTTTCTAATTTAATTTAGAGAGGCAGAAAATACATGACCACTTCCATCATTCAGTTTTCTATCAGTATTATAACTAATAGCTGATCTAACATGAGACTATCAACACAGAAATAGACAAGGGTGATGAGGCAGAGCCAGCTATAAATCCTTAAAAATATCACAAATAATATGCCCTTTATGTAATTGAGTTCCATATCCCTCACATTTTCTCTTGAAATAAAAATGTCTGGTAAATTTGTCTGGCTATGTTCATTACACTGTTATATGCCCTATGAGTCTCAGTCAAACCATGAAGTTATTTTCACATATTTAAATATACTTTTCATAAAGTATAATTCCAATAGCTATGCAAAGAGAGTTGGTCTATGTTTTTTAATTCTTGCTTGTACAAAAGGAATAGAACTCCTTACAGGTTATCTGTAAATTTAATGTTCACCTTTTTTTCCGATTTTTATGGTGTGCCACATACAACAATCCCCCCCCCTTTAGCTTTCTAGAATATTACAAGGATTCATTTTGTTAGTAAAAGTAAAACCACTGTACTATCATCAGTGCAAAGAAATAAAACTTCAATGACCATTTATTTAGACACAACCATTAACAAATCTATTCATGTCCTAATGTAATTAAAAGTCTCTTTCCACCCAGAGTATGAATTCTATGAAAACAATATTCAAGTCTAAAATTTCCATCACTCTGATCCCAAAATATTAGTTGAGAAATTTTGATAAACAGTTAAAAATAGTTCATAACTGTTATTTGTATATAATTTCCTTTGATTATTCTAGCACCCATTGTAGTGCAGTGGTAACATATTAATAATCTATGCATAAAAAGAAAGCATGTATTGTACTGTTTAAATTGAATGATAAAAAGTATTCTCTTAAAAATTCTTATATTCTTATACTTAATAGTGAACTTTATGCTGATCTTTGAAAATTGAGTACCTACAGGCATCTATCATCAGGTTTCCAGTCTCCTCCTTAAAAGTTAGTAACTAAATCACAAACATTTATTTCACTCAGTTTTGGATAACAATGAAATAATGGGGTTCTTAAGCAAGCACTGAATTGAACAACTACTGAACATGGGTCTAGTTAAGTAATAAAAATGTAAGGAAGGAAGGAAGGAAGGGAGAGAGGGAAGGAGGGAGGGATAGAGAAAGGGAGGAAGGAAAGGAAAGAAAAAACGACTTTTAAAAAAGCTTCAAAACTAAAATGAAATTTTACGACGCTAATGATCATCGTGCATATAACTTTATACCCGCTTTATTAATGGTATACACAAATAAATCAAAATTGTCAATTAATTGTTTAACACTACTAAACAAACATTACATTTTAAAATTCCACTACACTGAGAATATACTTCTCCATAACTCATAGTGACAGAAAAGATAAACAGGCCCCTTGACAACTGAAAACATTTCCCGAGGTACGCCACAACGCAAGACTGAAGAGGAAACATCTGAAAGATCATCTCTGCTTCAGTGTTGACCTCTAACAGAGACTTGCTAGGAGCACACCCCTCCTGTCTCCACCGCTGCCTAGCCAAACTACCTGGGCGAGGAACGCGTGCAAAGATGTGCCTTCCAGGCAAACTTTTGTTTTCTAAAAGTTAATCTCTCCAAATACTTCCAGTTGGAAAACGTCCACTTCAGCTACTTGACACCAGGGCGTCACTTTCTCCCCTCGGCTTACCTGCTCCTACTTAATTATTCTTCCAAGTAGACTCTGGGCATGTTGGGGAGGTTGCTCTTTAAGCACTTCTGAATCCATGATGACTGTATAGGTACACATCTTACACACTCCCACAGGTCTTTCACACCCTTTTCCCCTCCGGGCCGTCCTCAGCACTCACCCAGGCCACGTCCGGAACGCCTGCCCACCTGGGAGCAAACAGTACTCGAGGAATAATCCTCAAGATCAAGAAACTGACTGGATTTCAACACGTGGTGAGCGAAAATGGGGGGTGGGAGGGGTTGAAGCATTACAGATAGCAGCTGTCCATTAAGTGGTTTAAATCTGTTGGTTAAAAAGCTGAATAAACAAATACCCAGATGGGTCTAGTTCCTTGGGGATTCCGGAGTCTGAGGAGAACCCTGGGCAAGTGTCCCGTTTGGCCTCTCTGGAGTCGTCCCTATGCAAAACTCGCACCGGTTGCGCCCTCGAAAGCCCCAGACTCGCACGTGTCCTTCCCCTCCCGTTCCTCCTAATCGGTGTCACCCCCACGCGCCAGGTGCCCTGAGAGACTTACCTACGAGATCTCAGAGTCTGAGGATAGTAGGGCAACTTTTCCTCCCTGCTTACACAGGCCCAAACGCGCTCGGCAAGCGAGGGTCCACGACGACACTCACTCAGAGGTCGGGGCGTTCGGGCGCGTCCTGGCCTGCGGGGCGGGGAGAGGCGCTCGGGAGACACGCGGACGGCGCGCAGGCGGCGCGCGCGGCCACCCAGTGGGTCCCGCCGTGCAGCCGCCGCACGTGAGCCGCGGCGAGCGCGAAGGTCCGTCGGGACCCGAGCTCTGCCCGGGTCACAGCCAGCCCCGCGCTCCCGACTGCCCTCCGCTCGCCCGGGGCCTCCACGGACTTCCAGGTAAAAGCCAACCGAGAAGCCCTCCCTTTCTCCGCAAGGTGCCCGCGCCCCTCCCACATTCCCTCCCTAAAGAACCGGGAGGTGCGAGTTTACCCTAAACCCACCCACAAAGTGAGGAGACCTTCCCAAAGCACAGTAAAAGCAGGACCAGGTGAGATCCGGGTGAAGCAGGTCCTGCTGACTGTGGACAGGGCAAAGAGCGTGATCGGGGGCAGCAGTCAAGATGCACCATAATCCCGAAGAATCACTAGGGGCCAGGAGTTTCTTCACTCGAGAAAAGGAGTGTCCCCTCCCCGCCTTTAGTTCCCAGGGAAGTACTTCTTAAATGAACGCTGAAGCGCCCAACTTAAGAGACGGACGAGCTGCATGCACTTGCCCAATTGAGTAAATAAAGGTCAGCAGTTGGATCAATAAAGTGTGTGCTTCCAACCGCCAGATGTTTTTACTGTTGTTTCTCCTCCCAGGGGGGAGGGGGAAGGGAGGAAAAGGAAGAGACAACAAACAATAAAAATAAAAGAGTAAACAAACACACATCTGGTGTTTCGACACACATTCTCCTCCAGCCGCGGTCTCTCTGGAGGAGGCAATATTTTGCATATTCAAAACTAAAAACCCTACGTGAGCCAACGGCAATCTCCCCTCTGTCGATTCTCCCTTCCCCCATCACAATGCAAAATGAAAAAGAACAACAAGTGGTGATGTTGGGTCCGGAAGGCGACCCCGACGCTGAGCCGAAATTTGACACATGTCACACCCGCCCCGCCGCACCGAGCGCTGCGGCTGGGGCGAAACTTTGCCGCCGCCGCCGCGGGAGGAGCGCGCAGCAGAGTAAAGTCGCAGCCCGGCCCGGCGTGGAGGTGGCTGGCACGGGGTGGGGTGCGGAGGTGCAGCGCGCTAGAGTGAGGACGAAGAAACTTACCGCGACCTGGGACGCCTGAGCAACGTCCCGGGAGGTGGCACCCGCGGCGCCGAGGCAGAAGCCCCCAAACAACACACCCACGAGCGAGTCCCGGCAGCTGCTGCCGCGAGTGGGGGGCGCGCCCTGGGCGGGGGGGCGGGGGGCGGAGGAAGCCGCAGCCTGCAGACGCGGCCGCCGCATAAATAACCGGGACGGGCGCTCGCGGGCGGGCTGCGGGTGGCGCGGGGCTCGAGCCGGGGCGCAGCGGCCGCCGCGGAGCTGCACGCGCCAGCGTGTCTCGCGCTTTCTCGGAGGCTCGCGCTGTCTCGCGCTGCCGCTCCCCCCACCCGGATCTGTGTGTGTGTCTGTATGTGTGTCTATGTGTGTGAGTGTGCGCTGGCGGGCGCGCGCACCCGGGCCGCGCGCGCGTGTTGTTGGCAATGCAAACTGTACACACACTGCGCGCGGAGCCGCCTCTCTTCCGAGGGGCGGGGTGGGGGAGGGGAAGCCTTGGAGGATTCTAAACTAGTGCTGGGCCACTTGTTTGTTTTGTTTCACTTTGCGTTGTTATTGTTGGTTGTTGTTGTTTTTCCCAAAAGTGGTTTGGAACCAGCCGGTTAGAATGCCTGTCGCCCCCATCCACCTATCTCCCCCGGTGCCCCAACTTCTTAAAGGGAGGAGAAACGCGGAGCAGAATATTGTTCGGATTTGCAGTGGAGCCTCCTGGCTGACGTCAGGTCCACCTGCTATGTAAACAACTCGCTGGAGAACTTGTTTGTTCGGCGCCAGATCTTCCCCCACCCCCACCATTCTCCCCACCTCCAGCTCCGCCTCCTCCCGCTCGGCCCAGACGGCGCGTCGAGGAAGGGGGTGGGGAGGGAGGAGAGAACAAAACCGTATGCTGTATTGGCAAAGCCGAGTTGTGTCTGCTGCTTCTTGGCAGTCCCCAAAGTACGTCCTCTCAGCAGACGGAGCTGCTGGCAAATGAAACAGGGGATTCCACGTGAAGTGCAGAAAGCTTCGAAGGGATCCAAAGCCCTCGGTGGCAGGGAGTTAAAAGTGCATGGTAGTCAGAAAGGGAGACCCAAGCGTGCGTTAAAACGCTGATTGGCCTTTCTTTTCGCTGTGCGCGCCTCTGCGGCCTGGGCTAGAGAGAGGCCGAGTGTCTTTCTCACTCTTCATTGTTGTTGTCGTGGCTCCTGTCTCACTAGGGCCCAGGAGTTCTTGGGCTTCCTCCCGGTCGCTCAGCCAGGGTCACCGGCGCGGGCCCGGGCTGCGGGCCGACCGGGGCGGGGCTTGGAAGGAAGGGGCCCGCCGAGCTGGGACTTTTAGGTTTTGAGGCTTCCGAGACGAGACGGGCCCTATCAGTGACTGAGGGTTGCAAAAGTACCCGGAAAGAAGGGGAAGAAGAAATTGCCAGAGTCCGCTCCGCGCGCACTTCAAAGCCAAGGCGCCGGCGCGGGGGATGCGCGGGCCCGGCCTCCGGCACCAGGGTCCCGGCTCCTGTCGGTGGAGCGTGACCCAGCCAGCGGGCCCACGCGGGACCAAGGGGATGACGAGGGAAAGGCCGAGGGAGGACCAGACGGGCCTGGATGGGACGCGGGGACCCGAGCGGGGGATTCCTTGGGATTCCCTTCCCCAGGCCCGGTCCCGGCAGGCGGTTCCTCCCCGCGGTCTCCCGCTAGCCGCTCGGCTGCCCGCTGGCTGCGCGACCCTCCACCCGCCGCCTTCCCGGCGAGCTGCCGCCTGAGCCCGCAGCTCAGCTGACAATCAGTCGCGAAGCGTGGCGTTCCGAAAGGCGCTGAAACTTTCTTCCAAATAGCTGCAGCCGAGAGGCCGTTGCGAACAGAGCCTAGCCCCTGGCTTCCTCCCGGCCAGCTTTAACATCTCTGGTGGCAGAAGCTGGGGGTGGGGTGGGGAGGGTCGTAGTGACCTGGACACGGGCGAGCGGCACTAACTTCTGCCTTTGAGTCTGTCTTTTCCTCAAAGAGCAGCGCGCCCTTTTTCTAAAGGGCAGACGCGAGCTCACACACACACTTGGCACCAACTCTTCCCTTCAGAACCCGCAGTTCTCCCGGGGAGGAAGCAGCCCTGGCACCCACATCTGTAAACACACCGTCAGCTTTTCTAGTGAAACCAATTAAGTCAATAAGCCACGGGGCTGGTCGTGGGAAGACGGCCCCTGCCAGGAGGACGAGGAACGAGGTAGAGTTGGGCTTTGAATTGCGGTGCTTTCTGTGAGCTTTTGAACTCCAGGTAGTCCTTAAGTGCTCTGCTTATGATTGTGTTCTCACTCTTTTTAAAATGGTCTTTTTCGAAAAGCAGGCTGAATAGTGGACAAATAACCCAGATTTTTTTCAAGATGGGAGCGGGGAGAGGAGAGAGCAGTCTTTAAAATTAGAAAACGCCAGACCCAAATGGCCCTACCTCGCCCTTCTGAAAGACTGGGGATAATTTCATGTTAAGTAATTTGCGTTTATGCTTCACTGGCAAGCCTAAATAAAAGGCGGATTCTCTGAATTAACCTGAAACTATTCTGAAAAAGCAAAGAACAAACGGTGTCGAAATCCTTGGAGCGCCGAGGATGTGCCTTTCCACAAGGTTTGCGAATAAAGATAACAGAGCAGTCAGAAGGGCTACAGATCCCCACTTTTCCCCCTTCTTCTTCCTCTCCGGCAAACACCGACCCCATTTACTTCCCTCTCTCTCCAGGGGGTCTCAAGGAAGTGAGCGAGATAGGTTTATTATAGAGGAGTCTGGGCCACTTGGAAGAGAAGTTCAAGTTCCCAACGAGGAGAAAGAGGGTTACGCTCTGTAGACTCGGACAGGAGCGGGTTTAGTTAGCCTTTCACTTTTCTGTACACAAAGACACGTTTTGGTGAAATTTGCAGCCTCTGACGTTTCCCTCCCGTGAGTGCAAATAGCCAGGAGCCAAGAGGTGCAAAAGGATATCCCAGTCGGAGGAGCACGTCTTTCTAAATGGGCCGCATACCCTTGCCAGGGGTCTTTCCTAGCGAGGCTGAGCCCGCAGCCCCCTGGTGCCCCCGCTTAACTTCGCCCCATTATCTCCTCGCCTGCTGCCATTCCCCAGGCCACCAAGCCTTTCCGCGGGGAAGACGCCCAGCGAGTTGAGAAAGCAGGTCCTGCCTGGAGCGGCTGCCCCCGGCGGACGCCTCGCCCGCAGCCAGTGGGCTGGGCCCGGGTTCGAGAGGTGAAAGTTCAGGCCCGGGGCTCGCCGCTTGCTGCCCCTCTCCCGTCTCCTCTCTCCCAACCCCCGCCCCTGGCCACAGGGCAGACACAGCCCGGCTACCAGGGGCTGCCACGGTGGCACGTAGTTTGTTGATGGGTGGTCATAAAATATATTTATTTGCAATTCCTTTAACTCGCCCACCACCCCCGCCCCAGCATGGCCCCAAACAGTGCGGGCTTTGTTCGCCTCGCTGGGCTGGAGCCGGCCGGGGTTTAGCGCTCTGTGCTAACAGACTCCAAAAAAAGTTGAAGTGTAATAATAGGAAAACCGGGTTTCCGCAGCTGAGGAAAATGCTGAAAGGGCAAACAGCGAACGAATAGTTTTCTTTTGCACAAGTCACTGGTCAGCCCACTGGATCGTGGCAGCCTTGCAACGAAACACTGTCTAACAGAGAAAAGGGGAAAGCCAAATTCTGTCCTTGTAGTCGCCGCACAGGGTCGCAGCCACAGCTCGAGTCTCCTTTGCAGCACGTGGGGGCTGCAAAAGTCATTTAGAAAGGTTCCAGGGGAAAGTTAAACGGGGCCACTAGGTAATTGAGGAGTTTCACCGATTGGACCTCGAAGTTCTCTCACGAAAATTTATTTGATTTCAGGTTATTTTACGATGAAACCGCAAATCAACAAATTCCAAGCCACTGCCCTGTTACGGTCTAGGCGAAAGATAAATTCGTTTGAGATGGTCCCTGCCGGCACGTCTTGCGTGGAATAACCCTCCCCAAATGAAACTAAGGCCAGGATGAAGGAGAGCAACATTACGCGAGTGACACGTGTAAGAAATTTCGGTTCAATGCCTCTCCGAGTGAACTGCTTAAATTTTAGTTATTTGTTATAAGAATATAATTACTCATACATTTAGGTCTATTTTCTCCAAAACTTTCAGTTAAACAACAATTACTTTTTTCCCCCCTCCCTTCAGAGCCATTTCACTGGTTGTATTTGCGGCTAATACTTAAATTGGACTGGAGAGCTCGCTGGGAGAAAGGGAAAGGGGCACGTTTTATTAAATTATATTTTTCCTCTTAGAGATACCATCTTCAAAGTTGTATTACTCATTTCAAATAGCTTGAAACAAAAGTCTTCTTTAAACGCAAGGTGAAATATTTTTCTTTTCACACACTGGAACGGGCACATTTCAGATTCCTGTTTTTCCCGTACTCTACAGTTTTCTGAAGATGAGTAAATAAACAGACTCCTTTTAGCCATTCTCCTATCACCACTCTCCTCCCAGGCACATTTTAGGAAAAAGAGAAAATTCTAGTTTCACGGAAGTCAAATCAAGGGTAATCTATGTTACAAAGTCAAATTGAATGTAGAGGTTGCAAAATTGGTGGAGTTACACCACCATCTGTCGTTAAGCTTCGGGACTACAAAATTTGGGACCTATAATAAATCTTAATGAGCTTTCCCAACTTATTTTTTTTTTAATCATCACAGACTATGCTTTCCATCTGTATTTTTATAACATATACCATAAATTTACCTGAATCCTAAAGTAACAGATATGTGTTCATGAATTCATGCTTCTACTCGGATTTTCTAGTCATCTCACCTCAGAAAATACATACATACATACATACATACATACATACATACATACATACCTCCCTCCCTCACATCTACCAGCCTCCAGATAAAAGTCTTTTCAAATCAGCTGTGGGACTGCAGGTTTCAGTCTCCTCTTCCCCTTCCCTTGCTTCTAGTAGTCTGTTGATAGAAAAAATGGAGTGTCCACTCCAGGGGCCACCCATGTCCTGGAGCCAATAAGAGAGTTTTAGTTCTCTTTCAAATTTAACCTAGTTCTTTGTTAGTATATCTACTCTGGAAACATATAAACACAGTATATCTCTGCAAAGAGGTTGCTGTGAGTGTCTTTAAAAATTGCTGGAAAGGGACGCCTGGGTGGCTCAGTTGGTTGAGCAGCTGCCTTCGGCTCAGGTCATGATCCCAGCATCCTGGGATCGAGTCCCACATCGGGCTCCTTGCTTGGCGGGGAG